AAAAATATAAATTATAAATAAATATAAATTATGAACTATGACATATGGAATATACATATAAACTATAGTATAAACATAAAAATTATAAAATATGAAACATTAAGATGAAATATAAAATAAATATAAAATATAAAATGACTGTAATGGAGCTGACACACAACACTTCAAATTTATAACAGCTACATTCAGAATATTATATCAAAATTAAGAATTGGTCTTGTCAAAGAAAATGTTGTTTCTTGCTTTTTTTAAAATTAAATGCTAAATTATGCATTAGGAAGGGGCCATTGGGTTGTCTGAGTGTTTCTCAATAATGCTTGGAATGTATTTTAAATGGTGACTGGTTCCCTGCAGGGTGATAATTCCTTCCAAACCATTCCATGATCCTGTGCTTATCCAGAATTACATTCCCCTGCTCCTCGGATGCACGTTGGTATTTTTGGATTTGACCATCCCAGAGCAGAATGAGGAGCAGATTTGGGGGGGAAGCTGGAAGGGACAGACACATTTATGGGGTTTTTGTTCCTGACCCCACCTCTGCTGGGATTCCCTGTCCCCATTGCTCCCATTTTTCCCTCATGGAGCCACCATTAAATGGGAATGAGAGCTGGAAAAACGCTCCTGTGCTGACTGCAGGCATCCCACATTTATCTTAAATTGCCTCACTGTACAACCACTGCCACTTGGGCTTATCAGCAGGGACAATTTTGGGACTAAAGGAACAACGGATTATCCAACAATATATCCAAGTAAACATGTTGACATTTTCCGCCAATTTGCATGAAAATCAAAGCATAAATTCGTAATGTGCTGCCTAAGAGGAGAACAAAACAGTTGGCTTTTATTGTCCTAAGTGGGAGCTTGGCTAATTTATTTAAAAAATTAAATTAATTTTGTTTAAAAGTGTGGATTTATCCGTGCTGTAAATGGGTATGAATTATTTGATGTAATTCCTCCCTGGAGTGGGGAGTTTGTGTTCACCCTGAGCATCATCCTGACAGTGTTGGGATGTAAAATTTGGCTTTTTTTACCTTTTTTACCAGGAACACTCAAGGAAACGCTGCCTGGAGCCTTCCAGGAGATGCCAAGGGAAGAGTCTCCTGGTTGTTCCGTGCCCGCCTGGCCCCGTTCCGCCCCGGCCCATCTGTCAGCGCTTCCCTTCCCTGGAACCAGGCCAAGGTTCCCCCCAGGCTCTGCCCAAAACACCGGGATAAACCCACAGACAGGGAGCTGGGGAGAAATGCTGGAGTCTGGAGAGCGGGAACGGGGAATAAATGGGAATGAGCAAAGGAATGTGCTCTGCTCTGGGACACATGGACATCACAGAGGGGTCTGTGGGGTCAGGATGTTGGAGGTGCCCCCCTGGTCTCCTCTGCTCCAGCTGGACAATCCCAGTGCCCCTCCACACCCTTCCCCATCCCTGCATCCCACCTTTGGATGCTCTGCAACAGCTCCATGGCTTTTGGATGTTGTGGTGCCCTGGAGATGTGTTCAACAAACCATAAATCACCCATAAAGTGGGAATTCAGCCCCAGGCAGAATGAAGCCCTCACACCTCACCTAAGGGTGTTTAAATTCCCCTCCTCGTTTGCCTCAGCACATGGAGAAGAAGAAATTCCCCTTTGAGGTCTTATCCTGGGAATGCTCCTCTTCCCTCCCTGTGTTTCCTACAGGGGCATTTCAAATCTACTCACAATTCCACTTCCATATCTCCCCATAGCCACAAAAATTCAGTTTATTTCAACCACGGCCCCACCGCCCTCTGAGTTATATATTATTAATTATTATTATTATTATCGTCATCATTGCTATATTTATATATTACTATATTATATTATATTGTATTATATATCATTATATATCAAATATTGTATATTATATATAATTATATTATATTGCATGTTATAGTGTATATTATATTCACAATATATTATTATATAATATTGCATTATATATCATTATATATTATGTATAATTATATTATATGTTATAGTGTATATTATATATAAAAGATATTATTATATTGTATTATATATTGTTATATATTATATATAATTATATTATGTTGTAAGTTATATTGTATATTATATATACAATATATTATTATATTATATATAATGTATAGAAAATGTATATACATTAAAAAATATATACAGTATATATACCTACACAGGCATATAGAGTATATATAGATAGTGTATTTATACACACTAGGATATACTATATACATACATATATTGTTATAAATATATAGTAATAGAAATATTATTTAATTATATTAATAATGTATATATACTTTATACATAATAATAATAATAATAATAATAACAATAATCACATTTTGCTCCCCGAGTGCTGGTGCTCAGCCCCCAAGGGGGAATTTGTACTAAAAACCAGAGGAAGGGCTGCTCTGCTGATGGGGGGAGCTCTGGATTCCTGGAGCTTCAGTTCCTGGGGCTGGATTGGGGACATAAGGATAAGAAATCCAAGCTCTGTGCCAGGGGAAAAGGCCCCTCAGAACTGGGTGTAACCACCCTGAGAGCGCAGCTCAACCCCACTCAGCTTTATTGGGGCTCATTCCAGAGCCCGACTTTGAGCACACACCAAACGTGAGATCAGGAGCTCGAGCAGCTGGAAATCCTTTATTAAGGTGCTAAAAAGTGGAGGAACAACAAACCCCTTCCAACCCAGCAGCTGGTGGAAGTTCAACGGAGCTTTAGATCAAACTGAGCTGGCAGCACTAACACAAGAGCTCGTTCTTCTGCATCACCGTGGCCATTGATACAGGGAGAGGCTGCATGCTGAAAATGCATTTCTTTATTTCTTTATTTCATTTCAATATGTACAATTTCCAGGAGAATTCAAGCGTAAATTCCAGCAGGAGACACAGACCGGCTGTGCAATCAAACAGGAGCTTTCATTAGCAGAAGCGTCAGGGCCGGGCTCAAATGCTAATCAGTTTAAAAATAAAGTGGTCACACCAATAAAAACGAAATATTAACAAGTGACTTCCTAAAATAAACAACTAAAGACAGTTGTTGTCCATGTTTGTACTTTACCTCTTGTTAAAAACGCCTCGTTGTCACCTTAATCCAGGCCCCAAACCTCGGGAATTTTGTATTCAGCGGGGATGGGTGAGTGTTTTGAGTCACAAAAATCAAATCATAGCTTAGTATTTTCATGGCATTAAATTAATAAAAACGAGGCCCCTTCTCCAGTGTCTCACACACTTCCAGGGATTTTTGAGAGGTTGCTGAGAAGCTCTGGAACTGTCAGGAGTTTTCCAGCTCCAGCTCTGCTCCCTGTTTTCAGTCCAATTTGGGGAGCACATCCGTGTGGCTCCTCCTTCATTCACTCTGTACACACATTCAGCACAAGGTTTCCCAAAGGAAAAGGCCACTTGGCTCTCCTGCTGCAGCCATGGGAACCCATGGATTGGGGCAGGGAGGATGCAGGAGGCCCTGGGACACGGCAGGTTTTCCATAAGGAAAAGCCAAGGGGACCATGAGCCACCCCAGGAGAGCTCAGCAAAGGTGGGACACCCCAGGGGACCCCAAATTGCACCTGAGCTCCTGTACCAG